TGTGTGTGTGTGTGTGTGTGTGTCCAAAGGAGATCCATATAGAAAACACATTGTAGATTTTAGGGAATGATTTCTTGATCTGTTGCAACAACAACAACAACAACAATAAAACAAAACAAAACAAAACTATCTTATTTATCTCCCCCAAATTTTCTTGGATCTTAAGTTATTTCTAGCAATAACTGTTGCTTGTCTAGAGTTAAGGGAAAGTTTTTATTTTTATAAATGTCCAATTTTGATGAAGATAACTCATTTATAAGTTTCACCAGAACTTTGGAATGTACCAGTTGATAAATGATGACTCTGCCATTATAATTGAGCCAAGAGAAAGATTCTTCTGACTGATCTTTGGGACTAAACAAATGTTTTTTTTTTTTTTTTTTTTAAAACAAAGATGTTTACAAGTCAGAAAGCCACCAAATTCACAGTGTTAGAGTTATAATGAGGTCCTCTGTCCATATTTAGATCAACATTAGGAGAGCACATTTCACATTTAATTGTCTTCCTCTGATTCTTTGTGTTATCAGCAAACAACACCTAATTAGATTTACACAATCACCTCATCTAAAACTAGAAGCTTTAATCAACATTGTTTTTGGTGACTCACTCACCCTTGGAACTTACCAGAATATCAAACTTAGAAGAGGAAAAAGATGTTAAGGAAGCTAACTGTCTCCTCCTCTCTTACAGAAACAAGAACAGACTACCCATAGACAACAGCATCTCAGTGGCCGAACCCGCAGGCCCTCGCTTCACCGGGGGTGGATTTCCCCTCAGCAAGACATCCAAAACGAAGTCCTAACTGGAAGCTGTTGGCTGGGTCAGGTTAAACAGCTCATGAAATTTGCTCTGGAACATTTTGGCAGAATCTCTTTTTATATCCTTTGGATCAGAGATATTTAGAGAAATCAGGTGCCCAGATTCCAGGATGGAAAGGAATGCAGAACTGTCATAGTCATGTACATAAAAGAGTGAAGATGTTTCACTTGGACCGTGAGGATATTGGCAGATCATTATTGGACTCAATAAGGCTGCCATATTGCACAAAGTGATCTTTTTGTTGCAACCACATCGATTGATTTGAAATGCACCAGATTTAGATACTCTGTATGAGTGAAGCTTTAGATCTTCATTTGTTTATTATGGATATCTGTGCAATTGAAAGTTTTATATTTGAAAATATTTTTGAGATGCAGTGTATCTCCTCTCATTACTGAGAATCTATTTTTAATTATTCCTCATTAACAAGTCATTGCATGACGTGAGAAAGAAGAACAGACTCTCAAGTCTTTAAACATGTTTTGAGAAGGATATCCATGTGGAATTTCTTTTCAGGCCTAGGGTAGGAAAATCTATTCCAAAGAGACATGCCAATAAACAAGCATAAAAAAATAAAAAAAAGAACCTTTATTGAGATTCTGATCTTTGCTTTAGTAGTGGATGTAATTAAAGTTTAAAACTACCTTGAGAAATGTTTAACATAAGGATTTGATTCAGAGGAATGGAGACTAAAATGAGGGGGCTTGCCTGGCATCCCGGATTCGCCTTTCTAGATCTCATGCTTGAGCATGGGGTTGTTTAGCACAGGGACCCGTTTGGCTCTCAGGCTCCAGACAACTTTTTAACCCATCGAACCCACTGTGTTTTATTTTTGTCAAGATCACATTTATTTGGGCACCAGCTCACTGTTTCACATTATGTGGGGACACTGAGGACTCACTGGTCACCTCTCTCACAATAGCTTGATCTCTGTAATCTTTAAAAAGGTGTTGAGTAGTAAGTAGCTCAGGATGAACGAGAACCATGTCAGTGCATCTTTAGAACATTCCATTTGTGCAAAGGGAGCAAGATTCCCCCTGTGAAAGCAAAAGTGTTAATGGCCCAAGGTGTTTGTTCAGACTATACAGGGAAGTGGGACTTAGTGGGGAGCATCTTCAGTCCACCAAGGACAGTGTCCTGTCTCTGGTGGGCTTCTCCCGAAGCAGACCAAAGATATCGATGGCTATGTAGGCGATGCATTATGAGGTAAAACCAGGAAGAGAGTGGGGAGATGAGACGGGCAAGGGAAGGAGGCCAAGCAAGGATGTGATCTCGAGTTGAGTTCCATGTTGGGAGACTTTGGCTCCATCTTGCGGGGAGCTCTAGAGGCCATGTCATAACATCCCAGAGTTCTCCCCGTCAGGGTTAAGAAAGCTGGGGTATTTATATCCCCGTGCTGTCAATCATTGACCAAGGACTGCTGCTCTGGAGGGACCCTCTGGTTCTCTCTGCCTACTGACAAAGCAGGTTCTGTCAGCTTGATGGCAGCCATTGGACACGGAGTGCAGGTGGTGACTGTTAGAAATGAAAGTGGGTAAGGGTCAGGGAGCATCATCCTCTACTGCTTCTCCCAAATGGGCCCCGTGAAGGAACTCTATAACAGACAACTCTATCATAGACAACTCTATAATAGAACTCCATTGTACATGGTGACCCTGTGGTGAGATGTGATATCGGCAATTTGGGCTCTATACAAGGATATATACGAAGTATGGGAATTTCTCCTAGAGAATTTACCAGGAGTATTTTGAATCTAAAAAAAAAAAAAAACCAAAAAACAAAAACAAAACAAAACAAAAAACCATAGTAGAGCCATTTCCATTCTGAAAAACAAATGATGATGTAATCCCTGAGCCAGCTGTGTTTTGTTTAGATAAAAGAAACAACACTGACGATTTTCCCATCCTTCAGAGATGTTCTAAAGTAGGACCACAAGCCAACTTCATTCTGAGTTAGTGGGTGGCTTCATAAGAGGAACTTCTTCTAGAAGGAATGGAGTCTTGACTTATCTCAGTATGGTGAAGACTCTGGAGACTGCTTCTGGATTCAGAACCTGGCTCATTATAGCAAAGATTGTTCTGAAGATTGAATGAGTTAATGCATGCAAGCTTAGAGCAGTGTCAGGCACACAGAGATTGCTCAATGAACATCTGCCGTAGTTATCGTTACCTGAGAGATGCCTAATATTTTGAAATTAGAGAAGAAAGGTTGTTTGTCACATACAATGTATCAACGATAAAGGTGAGCCTGATTTTCATTACAGGGTTGATGACACCAAAATGTCTGGATGAAGCTGGATTTTTTTGTCATGTAATTTTTGATTGAATATCTTCCAGAAATGGCATGTTGAGTGCCTTATGAAACATTCTATCTATATTTCCTATAATATGACCTGGGGACAAAGTGATCGTTGAGCTTCAATTCCCCCCCCCCCAGTACTGGGGATTAAATCCAGACACACTCTGCCTGTGAGTTACATCTCCAGCCCCTTTAATGTTTTATTTTGTGATAGCATTTCACTCTGTTGCTGGCCTCTAATCTGTAATCCACCCAGTAACTGGGTTTAGAGACCTGAGCCACGGACCTGGCTCCTTTCACCTTCAGATGTCAGAGCTCCAGTCACCAGAGGGAGAGAGCCTGGTGGCCTCTGCTACCTCTTCTTGTTTCTCTGAATGTAACAGAGCAGGGTGGTCTGCTTTGGCTATGTCAGAGGTCCCCTGAGCCAGGATGCGAGAGGATTCTGAGAGCTGACAGGGGAGCTCTAGTGGATGCATTTGATTTTGTTCAGAGGGAGGAGCAATGAGTTAAGCCTGGGAAGGGGGAGGTAATGTCACTGCCTCTCATTCATGGCACCTCGCGATGGCCCAGGGTGTTCTTAGCAATAACTGTTTAGGTACAGGTGTTTCCATGGACAAAAAAGAGCTGTTAAAAAAACACTGGGATTTGCAAATCATGAAAGATTAAATGTGAACTCGCAGTGGGCTGAGGTGCTTTTCCAATCACAAATTTGAGCTCCATTGTAGAGCAACATTAGGAGATGGTACTGTAGCATGATTTTACCCTGGGGTTTTCTGAGTTTCGGAAAGAAGTCCTGTTGCTAAACCATCCATTGACTCCCAATTGGGCTGGTGGGAAGCTGGTATGGTTTCCCTGTTAATGGAGAGAGGCATGATAAAAGGGACTCCCTGGTCATTATTTGCTGATCATAGCTTCTCAGCGACTGCCCTTGTAGCCAGGTTGTTATTGTGCTTACCTCTGAAAAATTGCTCAGAGCAAAGGTTTGTTGCTGTGATAAGCCACAGAGACTGTGGTAGTTGTGCTAGGAAGCAATGGCTGCAATTCTCCCTGTCAGGGCTGTAATTCTGCTCTAAGAATTTATCCAGGGTTGATAATTATCATTTGGTTTCCTCACTTGCTCAGACAGACTCTGAAGTTGAACTAGTCCAAGAGACCCACAGGAAAATACTACATAATGAATTTTGAGTGGGATGGCATTTCATAGGTGGGACAATTTGAAAAAAAAAAGATACTGTCTCTTCCTTAAACATGATCAATTATGTGGAGATCTGGATGGGATAGGAGCAAAGGGAAGGCATTTTAAAATATTAAAATTGTCATGACTTAAAATATATCTCACCATTTTCTTTGTAATAGGTGGAAAATATTTTTATTGCATTATCCATTTTGAACTTCTAATTCAATGCTGTTTTAGTATACCATTTCTCATATCTATTATTTAAAAGTTCCATTAGGGTTTTGTGATCCATTAGAATTTTATAACAGGAGGAACTGTGGTATCAACAGGGTACCATTCTTCTTTTTTATAATTAAAAATAGATTTTTTTCTTATTTTAGAGGACCTGATTGTTACAGAAAATTAGAAAATATAGATAAGCAAAAATAAGAAAAAAGTCCTCATTAATCTCAGCACACATTGGAACTTCTGGTTTCCTGATTAACTCATGGTTTTTGCTCTTGTAGGTTGGCTGTATCAATTGCTCACACCCCTTCACTTGTTCTGACTTGGTCAGTGCTTGTGTTTCTTAACTGTTAAAATATTTTTACTATATCACCTTTGAAATACAACTGTTTTATACTTGTAAGTATATCTTTCTGGATCTTTAATAAGTATACCCATGCTTATAGATAAACGTGTAGTTTGGTAAGTTCTGACAAATGCACATGCCAAAGTAGTCTCTGACACAACCTGCACCTGCACCCACCTCCCAGAATACCCTTTTGTGCCTGGGCAGGTGAATATCCTGAGCCTCATCCAACTCCAGGAACCTTGGATCTGTTTTTCATGATTATAGATTAGACTTGTCTTTCCTAGAGTTTCACATAAATGGAATCATACATTATGTACTCTCTTGTGCCTGCTTTATTTTCAGGTTGTACAATGCTTTTTTGCGATTCATCCATGTTTTTGTGTGTATTACCAATTCACTCATTTTTATTGCAGAGCAATATTCTATCATATAGAAATAGCACAATTTATTTATTTTACCTGTTGATGGGAACTCGAGTAGCCTCTGGGTTTTTTTTTTTTTAGCTATTATGAATAAAGTTGCTATGAACATTCATATACAAGTCCCTATGTGGTCATGTATTATCATCTCTCTTGGGTATTTATGAAAGAATGGAATTTCTGGATCAGAGAGAGAAGGCATGTTTAACTCAACAAGAAACTGCCAGGCTATTTCCCTGATTGTACCATTTTGCATTCTTCCAACAACATGTGGCCTCCAGTTGCCCTACATCCTCGTCAGTGTTCGCATTGTGTGAGCCAGGCCAACTGATGGACATTGATATCTCAGCGTGGTTTAAATTTCTATTTCCAGATGACTAATAATGTTATGCCCTTCTTCATGTGATTTCGGTCATTCATAAGATTTATTTTGTGACAGGTTTTTCAAGCTTTTAGTCCATTTAAAAATTTTCTTTTTAGATTATAAAAGTTCTTTGCATAGTCTGCAAACAACAAGCCACTCAGTTTCTTTCTTTCTCTCTCTCTCTCTCTTTTTTTTTTTCTGTTGGTGGTACTAGGGATTGAACCTGGGGCCTTCCACATGCTTGGCAAGTGCTCTCCTACTGAGCTACATCCCCAGCCCTGTGGCTTACCTTTTCATTACTTTGAATACCTACCTTTTCATGTATTTTGAAGAGCAGACATTTTAAATTTTAATATGGTGCAATTTGTTCTTATTTCCCTTATGTGGCTTGTGCTTCTATTGTCCTAAGTAATTTTTGCCCACTATGAGACAGTCATGATTTTTTTGTCTGTATTTTTCTCCAAAAGTTTATTACAGTTTTGGCTTTTATATCATATTTATGATTCATTTGGAGTTACTTTTATGTATGGTGTGAGGGTTGAGCAGAGGTTCATTTCAATTTTTTTGAAGTATTCCTTTTTTTTATTATAGTTACTCTGCTGTACGGTACATCATAAACCCTATTCCTCCTGTCTGATTGAAACTTTGTATCCTTTAATCAACAACTCCCAATTCCCTTTTCCTGCCCTCCCTAGCCCTGGTAAAACCACTATTCTACTTTCTACTTTTATGAGTCTGAGTTCAACTTTTTTAGATTTC